GGTGGGGGGGTCCCTCAGCCCAGCCCTCTTACAGTCTGGGAGCCCTCGGGGGATGTCCAACTGAAGGCTTAGGCCTGCTCCCAGTTGGACATCCGTAGTGCTGCCACAGAGGTGGGAGAGGCTCCTGCCACCGCCGCTGTCCTTGCCAGCTGTAAGCCTGGCTTCTGGCTAAGTGGCTCTCCTCCTGTGGCAAAATAACCTTTGGTGCTAATAAACCAGGGAAGGAATTTCTACACATGTGCTAAGTTATTCTTTACCTTACTTATAAAATGGTGATGCTAATACTATAGACTTTATTATTTTTAGCTTCATATTCAAGGATGTCTGCTTTCCTGTTATCTTTACAAACATTTGTTTGGGATACAATGTTGTTGTGGCCTAGTCCAAAGGTTATTTTGCCCAGTCCAAACATTTCAGATGTTTGAGGAGTAAGATGTGCAAAATAATTCAATTCCTCTGAGATGGCGTCCTTTTATATCATTTTCACAATAGTTATATTTAAAATTATTTAGAGCATCTGTTTATGTAATACTTAGAGTTACTAACACAACGTAGGAGAAAATGCAGAACTATTAATGCTGCTACTACTGACTAAGTGATGCAAAACAAGTTAATCTACTAAATCAGTCTCCCCATTCTCTCAAGGCTAAATCAGTTTATAGAGGAAATCTCTTATGATGTGCTCTTTCTATATAAATTTGATGTTATTTTGCTGACTGCTGATATCACAATTACTTTCAACATCAAATGAAAGTATTTGCTTATATTCTGTGGCATATTATTAAATACTAGAGGCCTGGTGCATGGAATTCATGCACTCATGGGCAGGGGTGTCCCTCAGCCCAGCCTGCGCCCTCTCGCAGTCTGGGAGCCCTCGGGGGATGTCTGACTGACGGCTTAGGCCCATTCCCCGTGGGAAGCAGGCCTAAGCCATCAGTTGGAAATCCTTAGCGCTGCTGCAAAGGTGGGAGAGGCTCCCACCACCACCGCTGCGCTCGCCAGTTGTGAGCTCGACTTCTGAGCGGCGCTCCCCCTGTGGGAGCGCACTGACTACCAGAGGGGCAGCTCCTCCGTTGAGCATCAGCCCCCTAGTGGTCATTGTGCATCAGTGGACTGGTTGTTCTGCTGTTTGGTTGATTTGCATATTAGCCTTTTATTATATAGGACTAGAGGCCCGGTGCACAAAAATTTGTGCACTGGTGGGGGGGGTATCCCTCAGCCCCACTTGTGCCCTTTCAGTCTGGGACCCCATGGGAGATAATGACCTGCTGGCTTAGGCCCGCTCCCAGGGGGCAGAGGACAGGCCCAATCCCAGGTGCCTGCCCCGCAGCCCCTGGTTGGGCTCAGAGCAGGGCCGATTGGGGAGTTGGGGCACCGCCCCCTGTCATGCACAGAGCAGGGCGGATCAGGGGGTTGCGATGCCACCCTCAGTCACGCTCAGGGTAGGGCCGATTGGGGGGTTGGGG